AGAAATTCAGAATGAGAAGGAGCAGTCGGGCGGGGCAAGACATGATGACTTCCTTTGTTCTCTGGCAGCAGTGTAATCATCCCTATTAGCCGTGCAGCCGCCGGCGTGACCGTAACCGCCCACCCTGCCGGGCTGGTTCTCCGGCTCTCTGATCCCTACGACCGTGTCAAATCCCAATCGGGCGGCTGTCTGATTATATCTCACATTTGCCGTGCTCTACGGAGGCAGGGATGAATGAAGAGCAGATTACCACGGCAGCCTGGAACTAACGTGTCAGACGTGCACTGTGGCACAGCGCAGCCCTGATGTCTGACCCAGAAGCGACAGGAGCCGGTGTGGCTACTGAGATATTTTAAACACATGTTCTACTCTAGATATTAATGCACCTTTTGGGCATACGCCAGAACCTAGTCACTTAAAAAATAAAATAAAAAACATAGCAGTACCAAAACTTTTCTTTTGTTTAACTTTAATATGATTTTATATTTTGATGAGGTGGACTCAGGAATGTGTGACATCTGGGTTATGCCCTGTCCTGTGGCCCATGCTAGATAGACAGTATGGTGTTGGACGGATGGATGGATGGATGGATAAATGGGTGGATGGAGTCAGGAATCATTCATTTCATTAAAATCAGGGTCAATGTGAAGTCAAGGTGAGCAAAGGTTTTTAAGAAGACAAGGTTGCCTATGCACAGAAAAAAGCACAATGATGAATCCCTCCCATGCACTTACTAATCTTGTTTTAATGTTCTTGTAGGTGGCTGGTGGGTGAACTGTGAATGCAGGGAGATGCACAATCTGAGGTACATGCCCGTGAGACTGAACCTTGACATCAGCAGGTCATATCGGGATGCACTGCGTGGAAAATGTGCTGCACCTTCCACTAGAAAATTGCTCATGACATACAGAAGGGTACAGCAGGTATGCTCTATTCTCTTATTGTCAGGTTTAATACGCTTTATTACGCCCGTGACATAGCAAACAAGCACTGTGAGAAGACAGAGCAGACCTGAAAGCAGAATGGATGACATCATCTTAAAACAGGGGGCTTCCTTGCCAAAAACGAGAATGCGACGTGTGTCAAGATCCCTCTAAATGAATTTTCACAAAATATGATGCAAATTAAAAAGAACCCAAATGACTCAAACTCATCAAGCCAAACACACCCTCAGAATGAACCTCACCCAAGGGAGCTCGCCCCCCGCCCCCCCCCCAGCGGCCTTCTCCGGAATCCACCCAGCTGGCCCTACTTACCCCCACCACTACAAGATATCCAGCTAGAGTGAAGAGGGCTTCAAATGAGGCATCCTCTTCATGGGGTGGCAGCAGCAATATGAAATAAGCACAGCCCTGCTAAGGTCCAGCGCTCCATCTACCTACTGTAGAGCACAGGGTCACTCACTACTGTGTTTAAATATTTAAAAGATCTGAACCGTTTTCCCTCACACTGGTCAGAGGACGACAGGGTGTGGTTGCACTGTTGACAGTCCGTCTATACTCTATTTTTTGTCAAAATAAATTATCTTTACTATGGTGTTATTTAGCCCTAATTGCCACGAGACTAGGGTCTGTTTTAAAAGTGATAATTGTATGATTCCATGATTATTAATTTAGTATCATGATTTTATTATCAATTATAACTTGAATAAATCATCATTCCCCTCTTCAAGCCACTTGTTAATGTCCAAAAGTATTATAGAAGAGCATCAGATTTTTACAATTTTAAAATAAATTTTAAATTTGGACCTGAAATTCGTTCGGAGTGATTTGCATGCCAGACCAACTCAGCCACTTTCTTGTCTAGTGCCCTGTGCTTCCAGGGATAGGCTACAGAAGATTATAATAAAACCCACTGATATTTAAATTTAAATAAACCATAAGAATGTATTGAAATTAAAGCTTCATTCTATTCAAGATTCAATAATATTGTGATGTAATATGTAACATTCAAAATTGCAAAAAAAAAAAAAAATGATAATGATTCATCTTTGAAGGCTTTAGAATTTTATGAAGTGGTTCCATTTACATATAAGAGACAATTATCCATTTCATATAGTTTCCCAGCTGGATATTATTAAAGTATAATGTGTTTTTTTGCACATTTCACCATGAGCAAAGTTTGGGGGGAGGGCAGCAGTCCCCCCCCCAGCCCAAGTCCCTTGAGTTGAAACTGCACTTAATTATGGAGACCAGTATCACACTACATTCTATGCTGGCACTTTGCATAAATTGTTTGTACCATAGACAGACAAAATAATAGGTCATCTGTGCATCAGAAACGTGTGTTACACACAGGGTAAACAATGTGCCCCCCCCCCCCCCCCAGCGCAAACATCAAGCTCCACCTATGAGTTTCACTACAAATGATCACCAGTCTCATTAGTACAATAAGTAGATGACAAGCCCAATAAATCTCAGTCATTACAAATGGTCATAATCCACCAATGGACTTTGGAGTCCAATGGAGTTTTTAGTGACTTTTTCTTTTCTTTGAGTTCTTCATCACTCTTCCTCCAATTTGACAGGGGTGTGTAACAGCATAAAGCCTGATGATGCTGCCATTGTTTTTAGAATCAGCCTGAAGATTTGTCCTTTCAGAGCCATGTGAGGCTGTTAGGGATTAATGGCGTAATCAGTTACAGTGGCTGATCCTACTGGCCTTGCATAGAATGGGGGTAAAAAAATAACATGCGCTGTACTCTAACAAGATTTGGGATTTATAACACTGGCTGGTCATTTAAATCATCTGGAGACACAGGAAACCATTCTGATCGGGGTAAGAACTGACTGACATGTTTTACCCACATGATTCTTAGAGGACTTATTTTAGCTACATAAAGCTGAGAGGGTTGGCTTGTTCTGCTGAACACCTGCGGCAAAAATATTCTTGTTGTTACGGTCATTACCAGTGGAACCGTTAGATTTCCTCAGCCTACTACATCTGTGTTACATTCAATTATTTTTGATTTTGTCATGTTTTGTTTTTCCGGAACAGAAGGCATGAAAGAAATACAGACAGATATTTATACTACAATTGGTTAAGGCGATGAATTTTTGACAGCTTATTTTTTCCATTGCATCAAGCCATGAACAAGTATCCATCTATGCAAAGATTTTTTTCCCCATTGCCACACTGAATGTTTGTCTTTGCTGTACATGGACTTCAGTGGCAGAAATCCTGACAAACACCTTACTCAACATCAGGGCCAAACAGCCCAACCACTGCACCACGGAAGGTCCACTGCCACCATAAACAGCCGCTTTCCTGCCTGCAGTTTCGTTTTTCGGAATATTAACGGCTGGGTTGACTATAAATACCTATGATTAATGAATATCAAAAGACCTTAACTGACTTTCTTCCTGGTGTATGGCAGTAAGACTGAAGTTTAATTAATCCAATATGAAACACATTGACAGCTAGATCCCAGTACCCCAAGGTATTCAATGAAGTATTAAGAACCAGTTAAGTTTTGGAAGGGTAATTAAGATAAAGATTAAGGTGGACCTCATTGAATCATCAATTAGCAGCTGGCAACTGCCTGTTAATTCCCTGATTGTGCACAAAGACGGTAAATTCGCTGAACTGAAAGTTGCATCTACTGTTCTTCGTACCAAAATTCTCTGGGTCACCTGCTAAAGAGTACGCTGGTATAACATCAATTAGGGCATTTGTTTATGCATTCAAATAATGAATTAATTGGGGGGGTTTCATTCGTTTGTTTGTTTGTTTTGCCCAAAAAAGTCAGGAATACTTCTTTGATAATGTCGATAACATTAAAGTAGCTCTTTCTGCATCGTTACCCAGGTACACATCTGACTGGCTTTGGCGTAGCACCACCCTGGATGGTGCTGAACATCTCTGACCAGTTAACCAGACTCTATAAAGCTTTATAACTGAGAATGGAAACAAGGAGACACGGGGCCATCAGGTATTTGCCTTTCAGGATGGACCATAAACAATGCAGGCTCAGTATTTTGGTTGATAGGTTCCAGATCATATATACATTAAAGATGCAAATGATGCAGAATGATGTTACAAATAATGAATTTCCATAATTCAGTATATAAGCTCTATTAAGTTAGTTCTAGTAATGATTTGCTGATTGCTACCTGTAGAGTTACTAGTAACAACATGTATATTGCTTACTTTATGTCTTTATCTATCGGTTTGTTTGTTTGTTTATTGGTCTAATAAATGTATCTAATTCAGATGTATGCATGGATATATTATACTGACCCAATCATCCAACTCGCAACTTTCCTATAGGATCACCATCTTCCGATAGCTACACGTACCGCCTAGAGGGCATTTTAGTTTGTACCAGGGGAACTGTTTTTCCACCGAAAAAGCAAATAACAAGTATCAGTGGCCATGTTGAACCGCGTAATGAGAAAACACATACCCTACAGTAACTGGAAAAGAAAGTTACTCTAATATAAGTTATCTGACAATAGGGACTGACGTCTAATATATTGCAATGGTCATAGCATTGTTACATTTTGACTTTTCTCGTGCGTTTCACAATACTATAAAAACCCATGTAGCACGGGAAACAGCTCCTTGCGCGACGAAAAGAAATCATTAACGGACCTCCTGTTGTTGATTGTAGCAAATGTAAATGCACTGAAGCCACTTCTTTGAATATTAAATTTCAAAAATCATATTTTTACGGAGGACCTCCTAACGGGCTTTGAACCTCAAATGCTCACATATGACTAGTATACGTCCTGATTAATCACTGAGCAGTTAATTGATAGGTTCAAAAAAGGAATATTTGCATATGCATATAAGGCCAATAACTAATTAGCATCTGTTATACTTAGGAAACAAATCAGTAATGAACCGCATTAGTTCAGTCTAAGGAATAATTTAAGGAAATAACAAAAGGGCGTGGCGGCAAAAGTTAAATTACTAAAAGTTTACGCACATGATTGTAGCTACATGTTCATTGGAAGCAAAAGCCATGAACACAATTATGCCGGCTGTTGTTCTCCTACCTGCGCGGCCATAAAGGAGAGATCCATTATTTTGTTTTTATCTCAGTACATCCAGTAGAAAAATCAGCCAAGGTTGAATGCCTTATTTCCCCCGATGGACATCTGACGGTTTACGCTGTCAAAAAAAGCGTCTACATCTTAAGTGTGAACTCCAGGCTTTCTACTGCTACCAGAAGAGACTCTTTTCCCTAAAATTGAGAGAAAGAGGGGGAGAGAGAGACAGAGAAAGGGAGAGGATGGGAGGGGGAGACGGAGAGGGAAGCGGTGGCAATGATGATGGAGGGAGGACAAAGGACGCGCTGCCGGATGTCAGTCGACTCTTCATTCTTCATTAAGACTCAACATTATCCTTGCATTTTTAAATAGCCTACGTGCATATGATTTCATCTATTTGCTTATCTCAGCTGCTCCCTTCGTTATGTTGAAATAAATGCGTGCCTTTATTAATGTGTGATCTGTTGTTCCTTATTTTGAATTGGACCGGCATAACAAAGCTTAATTGAAACTCATTTTTATCGCACCTTTTGTTTGAGTTCGCAACACGGTACGAAAATAACGAGTTTGAACTATTTCGTTTCATGATATATAAAGAGGATAGATCTACTATGAGGTCATTTATCTTGCTGAGTGCTCGAGTTAAATGCAAAATAGTCTATGTGATTAATGATAGTTATCTAATTTAGTCAATATTTAATATTTCCGGTCTATTTCAGGATTCAGTGTTTTTTTTAATACGTCAGGCATTATAAATGCAACCCACTGCGTTAAGACTGAACTTAGAAACTGAAGTATGCCTATTAATCTATAATTAGTTACAAAATTGGTCAAACCTCAGTTTATAATGTCTGAATTGACAGACAACAAGCGTTTTTTTTACAAATCAGCTTATTATCATACGTGTTTTCTATTTATTATTGTTTTTGCATAGATTAATTACACAAGACGATCTGAATCGGTACAGCAAATGTCCTCCTGTGATATAGACCTATCAAGGGCGTAACTTTGGCTGGAACATTGGGGGGGTCGAGGTCTCCACCCATTACGGGGGAAACATGATTATTGGGGGGGTTGTATTAGCTGGTTTTGATTTCTTGGGGGGGCTACAATCCCCACCATAATTTACGCCCATGAGACCTATGACCTTTTTTTGTCAAGTCAACATCTTTATCTACTACAGGTGCCTGGAGCACATAATTGCAGGCTTATCTCTCAGTCTGCCCACATTCCTTTTCTGGCCCCCACCACATCACCGGAGCATGCTCAAAATCACTCTGTCATTGTTCCTCCAAATTCTTAACGCCCCCCTCAAGTGCCCAGCGATCCATAAAAGCCTGTTTTTTTTATCTCATTTGTTCTGATTAACATTTATCATCCTTATGCAAAGAATGAGAGAGAACGATGTCACTACTGTATGTTCATTTAGAAGTTCTTCCATATTGGAGCTTTTAACAGCATGGTGCCCAGCTGCACAGAGAGGAACCAAAAAGCAGTTCTCCGTCCCTCAGATTACTTTGCAGACAGCATCTCACCGGCAGCCCCTCTGTGCACTAAGCCCTCATCGCATGAGCGGTACTTTATTTTTTTTTTTAAAAAAGGGGGCAGTCTGTCACGACACGAGAAAATAAGGCTTCCCGGGCAGGCGCTGGGAGAACAGAAACAGGTTTTATTTAAGCTAAACAGGAGCATGGAAATAAACAAGACCATGAAGAGTCAGAACAAGGAGGCTGATAGGGGACAGACATGGGCAGACAGGAGGAGCAACATGACTGGACTGAGGATGATGATACAAACAGGTACTTAAGTACAGACTAGCAAGAGGTAACAAGGAACAGGTGTGGCTAATCAGGGCCATATTAGGGAGGAGACAGGAGGTCCAGGCGGACATGAGTTCAGAAAAATACATTAAGGACATGATAAAAGAGTTCTGTAGTTTCCAATGCTATCTAAGCTATAACAATAACATTTATATTGTTTTTAATTTTGTGAGAGAATTGTATTTTTTTGTTGTGACTGTGAGACTATCATTATACTCAAACTGTAACCTGTAGGGACTCTGGGTAAAAAAAAATAATTCTTGAAATACATTTATCTTGAGGAGAAACTTGTTTAGTTTCTCTCTAATTTGCAATAGAACTTCTGGGTTTTTATAGGAAGACTTCTTGCCTGTAGAATAAGTTTTAGGTAGTGATATGCTCTAATGCAATGGTCACCAGCCTTTTTCAGTAAGAGCTTTTTTACAGGGAAAATAATCTGTGAAGCTACAGAGTTGAAACTGTATATTTTGCAAACTAGGGTGATGGGGGGGGATTCTCAATAGATATTGTCGCGATTGACTAAGAATGTTTGACGGTTTGCCCTGTTGATCTTAATCAACTGGTTGCCGACAACTGCTCTAATGTAGTCCTATATATGTCAGGGTCAGCCCCTGCTGCCTCACTCTGTCCCTTCCCCGTTTGGCCAGCAGGTGTCGCTGGTCATCCCGTCCCTCATGTTCCTGTGTTCCCGTGTCCTGTTTTATATTTGGTTTTGGTTTCATTCCTTGTGCCTCTGCTTGTGTTTCTACCTGTCTGTTATTCCCTAGTGTTAGTTTCTGTTTCCCTGTTCCAAGGTCAAGTTCTTAGTTTCCCTGTTCAGTTCCCTGAGTTAATTAGTTTCACCTGTGACCTGTTTTCCCTGGTCTTTGTTAATTAGTCTCACCTGTCCTGTGTTAGTCTTGTTACCCAGTTTTAGTTTCAATATTTAAGTCCCTGCTTCTGTTCTGTTTCCCAGTGGTTCATTGATTGTGAATATTCTGTTTGTGATTATTGGGTATTGCTTGATGTTACATGCCCTGTTTTGTAATTAGTCTTTGTTTACTTTTGACCCCACATGGTCCTTTGTTTTTGTTAGTCTTTTCTAGTGTTTTTTTAGTTTATTTAATAAACACCTGTTTTGTATTGTTGAGCCGCAAGTGGGTCGTCCACCATTTCTGCCGACACTATGCCTCGTCCCCGCTCCAAACCCGCCCAGATTTATGACAATATATGTACATGCTGAATACGTAGGGTCACGTTTCACTTTGCATCTTTGATTTCTGCTTTTTTGCTCTTGAAACATTGGGACCCTACACAAAGGCCTATTATTGTACTCTTCACAACAATGAAAAATACCCTATTGGTAAAACAATGTTTTACTTTAAATGCATTGTGCAACTGAAATGCAGAGAAAAAAGGAGTTATATTATTGATAAGATACAATGTCTGAAAATGCTGTGCGGTGGAATACTGGTTCCTTACTCTAATAGACTAAATGCATTAGACATCTTCCTTAAGTAATACATCAATGAGAAATCATCCACTATAAGGATGGATGTTCAAGAAATATCACATAGAAGTCCACATAAAAACGCAGCATCATACTGAGGAAAATAGGATTTGCATGAATATGGATGTTATGATAGTGTTCCAAGATTCAAGAGCAGAGCAAGCAGGTTTAACGATCCACATGAAGGACAGAGAAGCACCGAAATGTAATCCACGACTGAGGGTCAAATCACAATACAAGTTCAAAACAACTTGGAGCAAGAAAGCAGAACTCAAACCATAAACACGGCCAGCAGTTCATCAAAGAGCAGACTGAATACCTTAAAGTAGTTTTTATTTCCAAGACTTCTTCATATCCTCCTGAGACCCCACCCATTCATTTATGTCCATTGTTGTTTTTGCACCTATCTTTCCACTGATGTAAGGAAACATATTTATTCCTGTTGTACACTAAAGAGGACATGCTGTGAAATTAAAAGTAAAAATAAATTTGAAAAAATCTAAATTGTATGATGTCATTTCCTCCAAAGACAAATAGCCTAAAATTGAAGGACACTTTTTTCTTTGGGTCTCAGGAGGATATTACCCTGGGGCTAATCAGGAGGTGTGTCTGTACTGTATATCAGGTGGGGGGGTGGGGGGGCAGGGATTGTTGACTTGCAGCAGGTGGCACTGAGTAATACATTTCCAATCACTGTCCAATCAGTGTGTACGTTTCTATTCCCTTATTGCGTCCAAAATGTAAATATATACAGTATATCATTTATTGTATTCTGAAAAGTTTAGCATTCATTCCACAATAAATCTGGTAGGAGTCAATGTTTCTGCTTGTGTTGTTTCCTTAATGATTTTTGTAGCAGTGTATTGATCAAAGCATGACAATGATAGAAATCAGTCAATAAAAAACTGCCACTGCCTGATAATTACACAGATACTCAAACAGGTGAATGGGTGACTGCCCATGTTTTGTTTATGGTTTCCATGGTGACATGACTCACTCCCCAGACTGAACAATACAATCTACATAATTGTAGATTTTTGGCCAGTAATCATAAAAATGTTTCCCTGAGCTTGATATGTAGTCACACATTGAGTGAATTTATGAAGTTCATTTATTTTAAACTTCCAAGTCTGATTAGTAGAGTAATAAAAATATTGCTAATAATGATGATCTAAAAATAGTTCCTGTCTTAGTTTATAGCATGAATACCTACAATTTCTCATAATATGTATTATATATTTACCTCTGTATCAATATACAACATTATTTGGCTCATGGAAAGCTATCTTGCTTTTCTACTTAGAGACTATGCCTGAGGTAGATAAGACAATATGAGATGTTTACTCCTATTACCTATTTTCCTATCAAAGCATCAATATGCAGTTATTTTTCTGCAAATACCCCTTTATTAACTGTTCATAGGTCTGCAGGTGTGCCATGTATTGAATGACTAGAATAAGTATATTAGCAGAATCTCAGGACCCTGCTGCATATTGGCACAAATGCATCTTAATTTACACTATTCAGACTGTTGTGCATTTCCAAATGACCAAAATATGTTTTGGCCACAATAACTAGCTGACAAACAATGTGAGACTGGAAAAAAAAATAGGTGTTGATATAATTTCACTAGCACAAAGGATCACAGAACTGTACACATGATGGACCCCATTCACAGCCAACCTGGGAAAATCTGAATGAGGCCTGAAATGAGAAATTCAGTGGCTGTATAGCAGACAAAGCAGCAGCAGGCCTTTGTTCTCATTCATTTACTTGAATGGGTTTGTTGGCCTGTAGTCTCCTGGATATGGCTTCTGATGAAGACACTGTGGTGAAAGAGCCTTTTGTTTTATATTTCTGCATGTTTTCGCTTTGTCTGTCCTTCACATCCATGCCAAGTCTAATGAAGCCTCATGTAGTGTATCTAAAATTTATGGCAGGTGATGAATTAAGGACAAACAGCCTTGTAACTTTAACAAGAAATATCTTGTTCTGCCTGCCGCTGTTGAAGTGAATGTGGTGGCAGGCAAAGGCACAAATCCAGTT